CAGAAAACAGACTAAAACAGAACTATGTCCCTTACCCTCATTTCATATCCACTCCTAATGGTGAATAAGGCTGGGAAGAATATCACAGCTGTTGAACCAGAAGAGAAAGGACACTGATCTTGCTCCACACTGAGCATTCCAGGCAAGGGTAAGAATTCAATCCCAGGGCCTCTTTTATCAGAAATGGAACTCTTAGAAGTGAGTCTAAGCTTCTCACTGCCACCCTATTCCAAGAGCTAGGTGACTGTTATTGTTGCTGTTGTCATCATCACTACCACCATCTGATATCTTAATCAGCATCATTTAACTAGCTTATTAAGTGGCCACATAATCAAGTTTCTTTTCAAAATACCTTAATGTCCCCAGGGCAATACGATTAGTCATCAGGATGCTGTTGATCCTGGTCACGGGGCAAAGGTCCCCTGTTTATGACTAGTAGTCTTGGCTTACATGTAAGGGCCCAAGACAGAATTATTCACTAGGTTGTCCAAAGCTCTCTGGAGAAAACCACCCTTTCATTCTATGCCCCTCCCTTTCCTCTCCTGCTCCCTTGGACAAACCTCTGGGTGGGTTCCTCAGAAGATTTTGTGGTAATAAAGCACCATCAGGAAATGAGCTCTTTCCTCCAGGGCTGAGACCATGGATGTACCTGGCCCATTAGGACTTTGAATCCCAGGTCCACCCAGCACAGGAATGACTCTCAGAGCTGCTGACCCAGGAGGATGAAATCCTCAGCTTGCCCGAGTCGTTTCCTCAGTACGTTGGAATTGAGATCTTCTAAGAAGCACAGATCCCAAACCCCCTTCCCTGCAGTTTCCCTCTTGGCCATTTCTTCCGGCCATTTAGGGAACCAGCAAGGGCATGGTTACCTCTTTTAGGAGGACAGTTATTCTGGACTTGGCTGGCCTCCTCTTCTTCCACCCTCAATTGCACCTGGGTATATCACCTATACATTAGTTTCCATTTAAGAGAACCTTTGTCAGGGGACATTTGGCAATAACGTCTGGAGACCTTTTTATGTGTCACCACTGGGTAGGACACTTAGTAAGGGAGAAGCCAAGGAAGTCGCTAAATATCCCACAGTGCACAGGACAGCTCCTCCATCTCACTGACAAAGAACAACCTCCTCCCAAATGCCAGTGTTGAGAAACCCTGAACTACCTGGGTAGACGGTACCCTGAGACTGACACTCTTGTACTGTGCGTAACTGTGATTTCAGGGGAGCACTGAGCTCATCTCTTTCCAGATAGTCCTTGCCCTTATATCTCAGAGACCAAGGAAACAAAATGGGAAACACCCTTCCGTCTCTGGACCAGGACAAGCAAGTTGGGGAAATACCTTCTCTGAAAGTCTCTACAGTGGAATATCTCCTCCATCATTGGTCGTGTAGGATCGGGGAGTTGAGACTCAGGTGAGGGTTGGTGTGGTGTGACAGTGCGATAAGCGATGAGTCGACCCAGGCCGACCTTGGTTCTCATCTCATCTTTGCACTTTTGGTCATGTGACCCATGCCAGTTTTTTAACCTCTTTGACTTTAACTCTCTTACTATGAAATGAAGACGAGTTTTGATGAGGATTGAGGGAGATGGCACATGCAAAGAGCCCCGATACAAAGAATGCATTCGTGAACAGCTAGTTCTTTTTGAGACAAAGAATTTAAGAATACTCTGAAGAGTAGTTCAGTTACAGAGATCTATGCTGAGAGTGGTGCTGTTTGTTTTATAGGGTTAATGTATAACTGGGCTTGTATAGATGGGAAGATTAAGGCCACTGAGAAGCAAGTGATTTCAGGTGACTCTGTGATGTGTTATTAGAGCTGAAAGAAACTGCCCGCTCTGCTCTGTTTTAGTTGCCGTGATCCTGCTGCAAAGGGCTTTGCCAATTAGACAGAAATGGGTCAAGCCACAGTTTTTCTCCCTGATGCGTTTTGGCTCAGTTCAGACTCATATTTCTAAAGGTTAGCAGAACATTCACATCATGGGGAGAACTGTGGAAGTAGCATTAGGCTGGGAGAGAGCCTCGTCACTGGTGTGACTGGGAAGAAACTGCCCTGCCTAACCCTGGTCCCCCTCCAAACATTTTCTCTCTCTCTGTTATTGGGGATTGGCCATGCTAGGTGAGTACTCTACCACTTTTTATTTTGTTTTCATTCTGAGATAATCTCACTGTTGTCCAGACTGGCCTTGAATTCATGATCCTCCTGCCTCAGCTTCCTGAGTTGCTGGGATTATGAGTGTCCACTACCACACCTGGTTCTGGCCCCTCTTTTTGATTTCTAGGACTTGACATCCCTCAGCCATGGAAAGCTCAGGTTCCAGAACTGTCCCTCAGGATGTCCCCCTTTGCACTCTGCCAACTTACACAGCAGTTAGTCCAGCCCTTGCAATTATACTCCTGGGCTAGGAGGAAGGACTTGCATGCTGTTTGGAACAAATTAGCAACAAAATGCCCCTTGTTTCAATAAGTTCCCTTGTGGATCTTCCTGTTATGACAAAATGCAAACAAAGCTGTGAGCACAAATTCGTTCATTGCAGTGTTGTATAGGACAGCAAAGAACGGTACACATCTTAATGTGTACCCATCCAGGGAGGATGGGTACACAGATGACAGAGCTCCTGTATGACCAACGTGATCAACGAGCACACTGTGGTAAAGACGGGTGGTAAAAGTTTAGGACAGTATAAGAAACTACTTGTGTTGAAATTTTGAATATAACAAAAAATAAATAAAATTTAAAAGAGGGAGACAGTTAGTTTGTAGGTCTCTAAAATGAATTCTTATCAGACATTGCACAAGGCAGGCTGTGGTCAGAAGCACCTTATAAACATTTTGTGCTACACAGGTGTCTGTTGGCTGTTTTCTTGCCTGAGTGCAGTGAGAGAGGGTCGTGGAGAATCGGTCTTGAGTCAAAGAGAAAGGGGCTCCCTGTAAGGAACAGCCACATAACTGTGGGAAACCAGAGAAACCACGTGCAGTATGGAGCCCAAAAAAGTAAATCCAAGGGAAAACTTTTAGTTACTTGCTTTTACCACCAATTTTAGAGGTCATGTAGCTAAGCCACATACTGTTAGACTCCCACTATTTTTGCTATAGATAACACCTCTGATTGGTGGGTCACGATGGTAACATTGCCTAAGCTGTTTTTTCAGGAAAGGATCAGAGCACATAGCCTCCCCGTGGACTTTGAAGCCACCTCCTGACTCCTGGTCCTTGTCATGAGTTGTTTGGTTGAAATGCCTTTGAGTCATCTCAATAGAAGAAGCATTTAGTCGAGGCAATTTGGAGGCTCCACAGAGCCCACCTGTAGGAGCACCGGAAGTTCTCGGGCAGTGGGTCTATGGTAGCAAGTCTCTGCCTCTCTCTGGGCCCACTTGGTCTCCACCTTTGTGGCTTGACTACTTTGCCATTTTCTTTCCCAGCACCTCTTCATCAGTGTTCCCAGAAAAGGCCTGGGAACTGACCTAGCTTGACCTCAACTCTATCTAAAGATGACAGCTCACTCTTATATCTCTACCTCCAGGGCCCAAGCCCCTCACCCAAATCTTGGGAAAGAAAAGGAACCTGACTGGCCAATTATGAGGCCTTTCTTCAGCCAAGGAAAGGACTATGGCTGGGCAGGATCTCCCATGCCCCTACTATCCATCTGCCTTCAAAGGGCTCCCCTTCTCTGGATAGACACTCCCAGAGACTGCCTACCCATCCTTCTGGCCCCTCCCAGAGCACACTGCCTGACACTTCTCTTCAAGAGTGACCGTATTTGTCTCATAGTCCAAATACCCCTTCATGCAAGTCCCAGCCACCCTCTGCTGTCTGCTCCCAAGCACCCTCCTGGTCTCCAGCCTTTAGCTCTGTTGTAAGACTTCCCGATCACCCTAGGCATTTCCTTGTGTGTGTACCCTTGAACATGAACCAAGAACACTTACAGGACCACATGTCCAATCAGTTCTCCAGTAGACCCCATCTGGCTATCTTGCAATTCCATTCGACTCTGACAATATCTATCAGGACTTAAGAGTCATATCCCACAAGTTGAGGGCTCTTGGTCCCACAAGAAAGGCCCCACTTCAGATGCCAATCACAAGTAGCAGATCATCTCTCACTTGTACTCCTGATCAACAGGCTGTAAATCTTCCTCCTCCTCCTTGGTTTCCATTAGGCCTGGGCTCACAGAACTCAGGCAAATGCTTACTTATATTGACCAGTTATTATAAAGGATTCTACCAAACTACAGATGGACAACTAAGTGAAGAGATGTGGAGGCAAGGTGTGGGGGAGGGGACAGAGTCCCATGCCCTCTCCGGGTGGCACCTTCCAAGGACCTCCTTGTGTTCAGCTATCTCGAAGCTAATAAACCTTGTTCAAGAATTTTACCTCCTCAGAGGTCAATAGGTGAGACTGACAGTTCCAATTGTACTCACGTGGTCTTTCTGGTGACTATCTCCACCCTGAGACTCTCTAGGGACCCCAACCTAAGTCACCTCATTATCATAATCTCCAGTGTTATCAAAGAGGCTCAATGTGAGTAACTAAAGACTGTGCACCCACTCAGGAAATTCTAAAGGTTTTAGGAGCTCTGCTATGTTATCCAGGGCCAAAGACAAAATGTATTTTATACTATAATACAAAATATATATTTATATTATTATTATATTTTGTATTATAATACAAAATCTATTTTATAGTATAATACAATTAGCGCTTGGATGCTTGGGAGCATAACCCCTATCCTGTGCTTACTTGGCATTCTCATGATACCTGGAGAGATGCTGATCCCCTGGATTATCCCCTGATTGGCCCCCTTCTGGATTTGGGGTCCAGAAGCAGGGATGCAGAGCGCAGGCCCAGAGGGCCTCCAGGGAAGCCAGCATCCACTGCTTTGCTGAAGAACAGATCATTGTAAGGCCCTGCGCAGGCTGGGGCTGCAGGAGGCGTGTGGGAGTGGAAGTGCCAAGAGACAGAGGACAAAGTCCTGTAATAAATTACGTGAGCCCAGAGTGCTCGGCCATTTCCTCTTAGGGCCCTTCCGCCTCTTCCTTTATCCTTACTCTATGACACCCCTGGAACTCGGGCACTCTCCTTTCCCGGCTCTTTCAGGTTGTCCAGGGTGGAGGGCCAGGGAGTGCACTGACCCCAGTCCTGACAAGGTAAGCCCCCCATCCTCCCCTAGTGTGGACTTCCAGCTGGGGGAAAGGAAGGAGGGGCTCGGCTCCTCAGCACCCTGGAGGAGGGTCACTAGTCAGGAGCTGGGTTCCGCCGAGGCCCAGAATGGAAGCGGGGTGGGGCAGGTCTGTGGGGTAGAGGGCTGGAAACCAGAAACTTTATTTAGGGGACTCTGGTCCACTGAGCTGCAGGGCTAACCCTGGGAGGCCACAGAAGAGGAGGAAGAGGAGGAGGAGGAGGAGGGAGAAGAGGTGAAGCTGTACTGGCCCTCTGCTAAAGGACAGCAGGCACTGGTGCAGGGGGAATGGCCGGTGCTGGGCTGCCCCAGCTCACAGCCTCCTCACAGCTGGAAGACCTCACCACAGAATCAAGGGACAAGGACAGCCCAGGTACTGATGACCAGGCCCCAGCTGTGCCATAGGTGATGACTCACTGCGTCCTCTCAGCTCTGGTGGCCTTGTTTCCATTTTATGGACACAGAGACGGAGGACCGTGAGAGACCAGGGCCCTAAGGTGAGGCAAGACAAGGTCTGCCTGGCCTCAAAGCCTTCTCAGATGGGGTGTCAGGTTATTGAGGGAATTAGGTGGCTGAGGAGAGGGACAGCCCTTGGACAGACGGGCTCACTGAGGCCTCTTCCTTGAGCTACCAGCCTAAGTGTGCATCCCATTCCCATTTCACAGAGGAGGGATTTGAGATACAGGGTCAGGAAGGACTGGCTTACGTCGGGCAGCCGGCAGGTGTGGGCCCCTATGCTAAATCCCCTAAATTGGGCACAGGTGTTCCCCATGACAAAGCCACCCATTTAGGTCCACTTCACCACTATGGACTTGAATTTCATTCTAATCCATAAGACTCCTGAACTCTGTCACCTGTACTTCTGACCGACAGGCTAGTTCAGGGTTTTTTTATTTGAAAATTCAGTATGACTGGAACCTCCCTGCACCCGGCCCCACCCCAGCAAACTCTTGTTAAGAATCACTCGACTCAACAGCTCTTTGGGTACAAAGCCTTTCCCATTTCTCTGGACCTGCTGGATACCCAACCACCTGCCACTCATGTGATGCTTCTCAGAGATCTACTCCATAGGCATTTGCCTTCGGGCCTCCTGTGCCCTCTTCTCTCAGTGTGGGCCCCTGCAGAGAGCGGGCACAACAGAGAGAGGCATCACCCTGTTGCCTCTGTGCATTTACAGAGCTCTGCATTTGGTGTGTCTTACAATGGCTCTCTTTTCTCCATGCTTATTCAGTTCACATAACAAGCCGTTCAAGGAGAAAGGGCAGGAATGATGTTACATTTCACAGAAAAGGACATTGAGGTTGTTCGGCAAAATGACTTTCCCAAGGTCACTGGACTATGAGCTCCTTGAGGTCATTGGCTGGATCTCCTCAGGATTTTTGCATCCCCTGCAGCCACCCAGGGCTCAGCAGAGCACAGACGTTCTGCACGTGTATACCAAGGGAGTAAACGGAGAAGTATTGAAGTGAAGCTAGGGATGAAGTCAAGATTTCTGATCTGATGTCATTCTAGACTCTTGGATATCTCTTCAAAGTTAATCAAGCTGCTTAAATCATGTTCCTTCACCACCAGCTGTGATGTGAGACTATATAGAGGAAAAATGACCAGTGCATACCAGGAGCACAGTATTCAGGGCATCAAGAGGTCAGAGGAAGAAAACAATCACGGAGCTGAGGACAGGCAGAAGAGGGGAAGGGACCTAAGCAGCCTATAAAAGAAAGTATGGCTTAGTGGTGGTGGGGGAGAGCAGGTGGATGTTCCAGGTGACGGAAATGGCATCCACAAAGATGCAGAGAAAAGATAGGACAGGTCCAGCCTGGTATCGTTGGTAGGAATCACATGTGGGTTTAGGGAAATGACAGGACATGCTCTCTTCTATCTTTGTCCGTTTCTTGTTATTAATAATACAATACCACAGATTGGGTAAGTTACGAAAGAAAGAGGTTTATTGTGGTTCATGGTTCTGGTCCAAGGTTGGGGGGTTGCATCTGGTGGCGGCCTTCTCTCTGGCAGAGTCTTGAGGTGGTATAGGGCTTCAAATGGCAAGAGACAGGAAGTGTGTGTATATTCTCTGGTCTTTTCCTCTTCTTATAATGCCACAGGGATTCAATCATGGGGCCTCTGTCTTGATGATCTTACTTAACCACCTCCCAGAGGCTCTACCTCCAAACACCATTGACAGATCAAGTTCCTACCCTCTTAATACCTCACAACAAGGGTTAAATTTCAACATGCATTTTGGAGGGGACAAACCATAACCTAACCCTAACCCTAACCATTGCAATGAATTTTCATGATGATAGGAATATTCTGTACTACCCCAAACTATAGCCATTAGCTGCATAGGGCTACTAAGCACTTGAAATGCAAAACAAGTAAAAGTAAGGGGCTGAATTTTAACTAAAATTAAATTTAAATAGACACATGTCGTTAATGGTTACTATATTGGAAGGTGCAGGCCTACAGGGCCTTGGGTGAATTCCTTAGTTTTGCCAAACCTCAATTTTTCCAAATATGGAAGAATATAGAAAATAATTATATACCACACATAATTATTATGTCATTGAAGGAAATATTGTATATGCAACTTTTGGCTCAGTAACTGCCCAATAAATGGTTTTCTAATGATTGGAGTGTAACTCAGCCCTTTGTTTCATGGTCTGCCCTTTCTCCAAGGCTGACCATTTACAATCACCCTCTCTGGGACCCAAGTGGGGTCACTTAATAGCCTGGGTCAGCTCTGAATACAGGTGGTTTGGCCACATCACTGTCACCTGCTGGTCTGTGCTGACTTCCCCCTGGTGGTGGCCCTTCCAGATTTTGCCAGCCTTTGCTCTGCTTGGGTGAGGCTTTCAGGCCCAGAACCCTTAGCTCTGGTGCTGTGGGGAGTGGGTAGCAGCTGGCATAGAATAACTTCCAAAGTTTACTCATCCGTCACTCAGTTTCACATGTCCTTTCTGCCCAAAGAACACATGTACCCCTTTGGTGAGCAAAGCATTGTGAGTCCCCCAGTGTAGGTACCCCTTTTGGGCTGGCATCCCATAGGTAAGAGACATAGCTTCTTGGACTTCAGGCTCCTCATCTTTGAGGTGGGATATCTCCAAGGAAAGTACAGGGCTCTTATGCAGCTTAAATGAGAGAATCTAGGCAAAGAATCTGCACACCACCTGGTACCCTGTCCTTCTAGCACACAGACCCCTTACAGCCCCCTCCTAGCCCAGCCACACTCTGTTCTTCCCCACAACTCTACCTCTCTACTTGTCTTTTGACATCTTCTTCCCTACTCCTCCTATATTCCAGTTAAGTGATACCCTGGAAACATGTGCTAGTGGTGTTGCTTCACACTGCTAGCAGCTCTGTGGAGGGCTTTGAGAACCAGCAGCTTACCCTTCTCCCCTTGGGGGATGGTCAACCCATTCTTGTTCCTGAGGTTAGGTGGGACACTGACTCCTGTGGGCTCAGTCACATAGACCTCTTAGGGCTTGAGAAGGAGGCTTGGGATAGGAAGAAGGCATATCACACTTAAAAGGCAAAAACTTTCAAATATACCAGTGCTTCCCCTTAGGATCAGTGATTCACCTGCCTTCCTGGGATCCTAAGGGGAAGCACCTATCCATCCAACCATCCATCCATCCACCCATACATTCATCTACCCACCAGTCTTCCAGACCATCCATGCATCCATCTAACCTCCCATCCATCCGTTAATCCACTCATTCATCTATCCATATACCCATCCACCAACCAACCCACCTACCATCCATCTATCCATCTATCCATCTATTCATCCACCCATCCATCCCTCTATTCTATCCACCAACCCATCTATCCATCCATTCATCCATCCATCATTCAGCAAGCTTTTTTTGAATCACGTCCATGAGTAAGGCACAGTCTAGCTTTCAGGTCTTTTGACATCTTCTTCCCTATTCACAGGTATGGGGGAGACATACACAATAACATATAAAAGCAGGCAGAAAATGGCAGCTTCTCTGTGTGAGGATGACGGTATATGTGTGTGTACATGGGTACGTGTGTGCTCCAAACTCAGATCATGATCAGAAACAGTGAGGTAAGAGAGAGCGTGGGGTGTTTCAGGAACTTCAAGGAATTCAGTGCATCCTGGGGAGGGGGAAGATGTAAGATAGAAGACAGACTCAGAAGGCAGGCAGGCTATGATGCTGAGGATTCTTGAATGCCATAAAGCTACGGCACACTCTTAGCATGGAGAGGCATAATGTGGTCCATTTTTGCATCTTTTAAAGATCACTGGGTAGGGCTGGGGTTGTGGCTCAGCGGTAGAGCATTTGCCTGGCACATGTGAGACCCTGGGTTCGATCCCCAGCACCACATAAAAAAAAATTAAACAAAATAAAGGTATTGTGTCCATCTACAACTAAAAGTATTTTTAAAAAATCACTGGATAATGGGATGAGGATGGATTTGTTTGTTTATTTATTCTAATCAGTTACACATGACAGCAGAATGCTCTTCAATCCATCGTACACAAATTTTTCACTTCTTTGGGTACACAAAGTACAACCATTCATGTAATTATACATGTACCTAGAGTAATGATGTCCATTTCATTCCACCATCTTTCCTACCCCCATGCCCCCTCCCCTCCTTCCCCTTTGGCCCATCCAAAGTTCCTCCACTCATACCATGCCCCCCACATTATATAGATCAGCATATACTTATCACAGAAACCTTCAGCCTTTGGTTTCTTGAGATTGGCTTACTTCGCTTAGCATGATATTCTCTAACTCTGAAGGACGGATTTTTGAAGAGATGAAAAGAATCAAGTTTACCCGGGAAGCTTAGAGAGGCATTACATGATGATTAAGATATGAGAACAATCTTCAGTAGTTGCTAATGTCATTCATTGAGATAGAGAACGCAGGCATGGGCTTGGGGGCTGAGAAGATGAAGCACTGGAGTCACCTTGAGTTGGACGTGCCCATGGCA